CGAGCAGCACTCTTCATTAGGAGATTTGGAACCCACATCCCACCCGATCGTTTGAACGCTTTACCAACTCGAGCAGTCAGCAAGCGCGACCACGTGATATGGTTTCCTTGACTGAGGGATGAGTGGTACTACACGCTGTCAAAATGCCAGCGAATCACACCAGTCACCAACCGCTTGTTGTCACACTATCAGTTGTTTAAACTACAAACCCGGGGTTCGACGGCTCAAAACTTGCTGGAGTTTCGTAAGATTCGCATTGCTGATAATTCTCGGCAAGGATAAAACAGCTGTACATTGCTTGTCGGCTTTCGAGCATATATTGGTTTCACTTACTGGAAGAAACCTCCGTTAAGATTTCCCAGATATCCTCACACTACAACAGAGGCAATCCTTTTTAGACGCCGACTTACAATGAACCTTTTCATTAATCGACATTTGGCAAAGCCTATGTATTCCACACCAGTGCGTATGATTGCGAACGGAAGGATAAATCTACGGAAAAGGCCACACGGAAGGAAGTTGTACGGTAGCAAACAGGAAGCAGACATAAGATTGTAGAATTGAAACCAGCATTCAGTTGAGTCTGTTATCCGTCTTCGAACGCGAAAAATCTCGAGACTCAATGCAAGCATGTCACGACGCATTTCAGTTTCAGCTGATGTTACTGGACGTCACATAGTAAATGCACAGATAGAGAATGAAGACCGAAACAGAGAGGAACGTTGTGCATCAACAGCTTGCGATGACTAACAAACTATGTAACATCATATGCATGTTTATGTTCTAATCACTGAACGGTATCAACCAATCAAACTTGAAACAAGGAACAAAGACACTCACCTCGGCTCTGTCGCATCTTACATAGAGGAATGTAATATTATTCCAACCTACCGACTCTATGCACAGCAATATACTCCGGTTAAAATCCAATCACCTTTCTCGAACCACCAACACTGCTTAGTTTGTCTGCTGCTGCGGATTCATCGCATAACAAAAATGCGGTTAAAGTACATTAAACGATCCACTGATGATCGACGGTACTTCGTCAGTTTCGAAGGTCTGCATGCAAGATAAACCATGTTTGCAGGTGGTGTAATTTTTGCAGAGAGCTAACCGTTAATTATAGTTCCTGAGTTCTCCCCATGAGTCTGCACGGTTTTCCTCTCACTTATCATAACAATGTGTCATAAACTTAAAACTGAATGAAGCGACAGTTGTCCGAAACTCTTAAGGCTTGTGTTTCGTACTGAGTTCACTTTTGGAAACCTGTTGCAAGCCTGCAACCCTTGTGCTTATTGTTGGCTTGAGACCACCAAGAAGAGTGTCCTAGCTTTTTCAGCGTGGTAATGGGACCTTTGTGCGATCGATACTAAAGCCCAGTCAAGCTAAATTATGACTGACCGAACAGTTAAGGACAAGAAATCTGATGTTCCCTCAGTCGCTAGGTAGATAATACACTGATACCGCTAGTATCCAGCGTTTTTGGTAGATGGGATAGTGTGTCAAATTTTCCAGGATTATGGATTCCAATAGCGGATCTGCAGACAAGCTCGAGGAGACGTTCAATGCACACTTTCACGTCCACAGCTGCTTTATTACTGAATCGAAGAACACAGAACCATCATTTCTGCTTTCTGGTGACTAATCCTTTTCTTGGAGAAAGTAGTAGAGTCACTAGGTAATTAAGGACACCAAAGCGCTTATGATTGTAGTCGCCTTTGAGTGGTTGCAGGCGTGCTAAGTGTGTTGATTGTTTCCTGTTCAGTTAGTTTGCCAAGAATGCTATATTTACGAACGCTGCTCACGAAGGCGCATCGCTTCTGATATGTTGGTATTATTAGATTGGAACTGCTGGCATCACGTTTCTTGAGGTTATTTAGGAATCAGGTGTCTCTGAACCACCATTGTTGCCTTCTTCAACTCGCTTGTTTGGTATTTAAACAGTCGCTACCTTTGAGACTACGGAATGTTCAGATTTAGTTCTATTCATCAAGGTAGAAGTTCGGTTGAATTCTGATGAGTTGACCGCAAAGTTCAATAAGATACTTCTATGCAGGTTGGTTTCACCTAATACTGACGAGGATGGAAAAACCCCATTCGTTAAGCCAGACGTTTGAGGATGTTATAAGTACCTGAAGGCATACCGAATACGATTTCTAGGGTTATCCACAGCATATGTTTCCATCCCCTTCAAGCAACGATGTTGCCTCAATAAGGTTTCAGGATATTTTTCGTCTCTACAAACACCAGTGTTTCTCAATGTGAGAAGTTATGTAGCTTGAGTTGCAGAAAGTCTTTGCCTTTTCTGCTTTCGAACTTTTTATCAATCGGAATACATTATCTAAACCAGGGTGCAATGAAACAAATGATCCCTAATGACACTTTCGGTAGCATTCTACAGTATCCTTCACACTCCTAAATTTCTGGGGATTTCGCTTCGACCTAGGTTAACAGTAATCCCGTGAGTTATACTGAACAACCTCAAGTCATCAGAGCTAACATAGAAGGGGGCCGTTCTGCCAGACAACACACCGAGCTTTCGACTCATGTCGTCAGATGAACTTGTGTTTGGCACATTTATTTCATCCTACTGTCAAAGGGATAGTAGTTCGTTAATTGCGTGAATTTCGCCCGGTGCTGAACGAATTTGTCTCACTGCCCAGAAGGAAGAATAGTGTTAATTTATACTCATCAGAAGTTCTAAATTAAACCGGCACTTACCCCAGGGAAATCCATGCGATGGGTAGGTACCTGGAGCGGAAAAAACGTGAAGTTAGCCACTATACGTCGGCAGTGTCTGTATTTGTTGGTAGTGTGAGGAGATTTGGGATTTTTGTGGGATTTCGTCCTGTAAGTGAAGCCAATCTATGCTGAAAAGCCGAGAAGCACAGTGCTTCATCATATAACCGCTAAGTCTAACAATAGCAGGATTCTGCGAAAAGCACCTATTTGCACACCGGTTTGGTTTCAACAAGAAACTCAATTGAATTCACACCGAATCTTTTATTAACGATATTCTTTAACTAAACGTACTGAGCAGTGTGGCCTGTCTTGATAACCTACTGCGACAAATAGAATATCGTGCCAATTGAACTTAAAGTAGAAGTTTTGCAGCACTCTCATCTAGAGACTATCACAGACGAGAGATCCAATTATGTATTTCTTTAGAAATGAAGCGGTGTACAAATGAGTATATTTTGTGGCGCTCATACAACCTGGGTTCAAGTAGAGCTTGAGTTCAACGGAAACTCGGTGAATGTGACAGCCTGGTAACTCCAAGTAGGAAGAAACTGGTCGGGCTGTCGAGGAGTTTTCAGCAACCTTGTTAGTAGCGCTGTCTCTAAAAAATAGTAGGATTTGTTTCCGGAACTGTTTTAAGCCTTCGAAAAAACACTGATCAAACTACACTGAAAAGATATGAGACGTGTGCTACAATGTGTTGACGTCTGTTTTACTATGTTCGGTCGCGATCAGGATTTTACTTGGTACAAACTGTGTTACATTCTAATTCGTGAAACATGCCTGTGGACATATCAATGGTGTTGCTGCGGTCAGTTCTTTTGACCCAACATAATGGGATGGGTGAATAAAAAAATTTTGATGAAATTTAAAAGTCGTCACAGTATAAGTGTGACACCATTTTCAATTCTTCACAGGCACCCCCCATTTCCACCCACCCTAACTTCCGTGCTACCTCTGACTGCTCATCATTTTGAGATATGCTAATTTGCATACTTACCGACTGGTTCCTGCAAAGTTCCACTCGTTGCCAGAGCCTTGGGGATGGTCAGCATCTACAGTTTCCTAGTCACACCCAAATAGCACATAAGCGCCTGCTAGTAAAGGCTTTACTCTACAGATTTCGCAACCCCCAAACAACAGGGGTAATCTTGGACAGGGCTTATCCAGAGGATTTATCTAAGGTTCCTAGTAGAATCCGAAAACAAACGAACCGGTTACACCGGACCAACAGGAAGGATAAGCAACTGGATTCAAAGCCGTCAACCCTTACATAGGCATCAGCCTTTTTTAAAGATTTTTTCTACTTCACTTCAGCTAAATCCGAGACTGACCGCCGAAGGATCCACTGTGCGCAAACGTCAGACTGAAGGCTCAAAGCTATCCAACTCTCATTTAGTCTACTAATTCTCCTGTACCTGAAGGGGTGCTCATAGTGGAAGGACAAACAGACACCGAGCGGAAACCTCAGGGGAACATATTCCGAACCGGAGAACCGTCAAGTCGCATTCCTGCATCTTCAACAGCCAGACGTCTTTTAGGTGCTTGTTATCGGTTTAATCCGGCCACCTCTTTGTTGCTCAGCACAAACTTCATGGCTTCAGAGGTAGGCAAAATATTACTGACCAAAGCAGACCTATCACAGCTACCAACAACAGTTGAAACGCACGATCTGGTTGCTTTGGCATTGATCAGGTGACATACGCAAATCAACCAATCAGCGTCTACTTTGCATTATTTCTTTGGCTCGTTGGTTTCAAGTCCACGGTGAAAAAATGTTGACATGTTGCACCAAGTGTTTTCCACTGATTTTAAACAGATGGGCAAAGGGGATACGTTGTTTCAAATTGGTCACTGGGAAAATTGATTTGTTTTGATCCCTAGTACCTACGTCCACTGAGCTGGGAAAATTGATTTATTTTGATCCCTAGTACCTACGTCCACTGAGAAAACGGAAGTTGAAGTTTGTGAAATTTCATTGTCCGGCCGAATCTTATTGTAACTTCGAATATTTGTGTTACTTTGTAGACTGAAGGTAATTCGTTAGGAGCAGATCTTCTGCACATGACCAGTACACCCCTGAAAAAGATTACCCATGCTGTACTCGTAACGCATAAATTGAAACCACGAGAAAAATGGCATCATGTGTGGGCAAAATAACATGTGATGTTTGTCAGGATTTATAAATCACGGGCACAAATACAAGGTTTAGCGCATATTTCAACCGACCGAGGTTAGCAATAGCACTTACGAAATACCTCTGTGCTGTTTCGGAATATACCGTACGGTGTCTCCACAACGCACGTGTACAACCCGTAGTCATGCATTGTCAGATTTGTTATGAACAAAGTGGTTTTTAGTTCCTTCTGTAGTGAACCCATTGTATCTGGGGGGTTGGGCGGGAGAAAGAAAGGAGGAAGGACTAAATGAGTTGTGAAGGGAAAATCTTCTGAATCGTTGTAGTGGGAGTCAGAGACTGGTTCCTGTAGCAGCGTCGAAGGGCAAACAACGTTCTATAAAACGGTTGGAGACGCACTGTCGAGTTTTGTTGTATTGCTGCAGCAGTCTTCCAATCGGACACCCAGCAATAGAGAATTCTTTGGTGTATTTTCTAAGGGGAAACACGCGAAATCAACAAAAAGCAACCAAGGTACACCACACCCACCCATAGTACCCTGTTCAGCAGTTAGGTTACAGTATTCCACCGCCTCATTGGGTTCTTGCTAATTCCAGATAGATAGACGATCGACAAACGAGTACAGTTAAACTTTGGAACTTGTTACATGGCTGCAATACTAAAAATCCGTGATAGATCAATACTGATTGATTTCTCGTTAAGTGATTTGTGGAAAAATTGCCCTGGCGTAACAGCCTGAGCTGGCCGACGTAAGATTGCTTTTCCGAAAGATTTCACCAATACAATGACTTTTAAGAAGCCATTCATTAACGTGCTCTTTCGAGCGGTGATTCGGCGAAGACCGGCGTCCGTGCATAGGTTTCAACCCGGGAAGCCTACAGTACAGACCAATAGCCTATGAGCCTCAGAAAAGCAATAGACAACATTTCAGGAAAGTAGCAAACCAACCGCCCAAGCAGTATTCTATTAGGTGATTTGTATCCACACCACTAGCTTCTGTGTATCACTTCTGCTGTAGTGGCACTATTATTCTAAATAATACACTCGAATCAGAGTATACTGTGATTACTGTGAGTGGTTGCGAGATTTGAACACTCTGCATCCAAATATCATGCACCATAACTGGCCTTCTGTACAAGTGGTGCAACTGCTCCGGTTAGTTTAAACGAAAGAGAAGGGATTTCACTTCCTAACAGCATGTCGGATGACTGCAGTTCATATTCCAGCACCGCCAAGAATGTGCACTACTTTTAAGTTCAAGTAGGGGCAAACCTCGGCTTGATTTGATCCAACCGAAACACTTACACAGAGACAAGAGAGGATACTTCCACAACAGACATCACGAAAACAAATTCTGAATTTCAGGTGGCCTCGGGATCCGTAGAATCTCCATTCAAATCACCTCCGTTGGAGCAGTCGTCCTCGTGTCCTCAGACACTATTCTGTAGAATCCAGACCAGAAGTGAGAAGCACTGGGACCCGAGTTCTCCTCTTGCCAGGGCTTATCAACAGTGTATATCCCTTATCATGCCGCAGTGTGGATTCCAGACATCCTAAGCTAAATACGGGCACGTAACCACTGGTCAACTACTTCTCGGGAGATAAATTCGGGTCCAGTGCTTTCTCTCTTTGACGTGGACTCTTTAGAATAATAGTGCCAGGACAGGATGAAGACTGTTGAAAAAGGGTGTGATGTGAATGGATCCATTACCACTCCTAACATATCAAAGTCTCCAGCTAGGTTTCATGTGTTCTTGATGTTACCTGAATGGGAAGTGCGAACAACAGGTTTGACGTGCGATGAATACATAATTCTGAAGGATAAGGAGCACTCGATCCTGTCTAAGTGTGGGTTGGCCACATACCCGATCGTTCACTTTTAGTACATTGAAAGTTGTACCCGGAAAATTGTGGGGTCATGCTCCTCCTGGGAAATCTGAGGTACCCCTTCCTGAGGATCCTGAATTACATCGAAGCAGCCATTTAAAGATCTCTTTTGCAGACCAGCATGACATAGCTTACCCGGGAGTAAAAATTAAATTTAAGGATTACATTTTCTACACAATTAAAAAGAGCATTTCCCAACTTTCACATTCCGTTTTGTCGTATTGTTTGATCTAACCACAATGATGATGGGAAAAAAATAAATTCGAACGTTTCTGACATCCCCATCTCCTATGAGATGGTCACAAAACCCTCGAAAACGGCTTTCACAAGGCTTTACTGAAAGATTAGAAGATATTTCAAAATCCTACGTCATTTCTGAAGTAAATGGGCGTTTCTGATCCTGAACTCGCTGTTCTCTGAGCTTTCGGGATAAAACTTCACTACATTTTTGAGTCTTCTGAAGAACAATCACAGCATATGATACAAGTATTTCTGTTTGAATAATATAAACAAATTTTACTTCCCATGCTAACGCTGTTAACGGGAATCGAGCGGTTGATTTAATTTGTCGCAATCCAATGTCAGCAAACAGCGGTAGATTTGAAATTTCATATCATTATAACTGGAAACTTTTGTCACGGGCGTCAGTAGCAAACTATTCCGGGCACAAAGTGTTCTCATCGCGAGCTGTTGCCTTATATCTTCATTGGGAGTAGTCAGCTGCAACCGTCTTTTGTTTTTCTTTGTGATTAGATCATTTGTCAGTTATTAGCTGTTATGGGTGACTTCTCAAGTTGCTACTGAGGATCATCCACTTCAGTAATATCTTCTCCTGAAAACTATTTACTAGCAACCGATAACGAACACATAAGCACAACTTACCCAGATGGTTTGACCATTTGTGCCGACAGAATCTGAGGAGGATGCTGACATACACAGATATAACGAACACATAAGCACAAATTTGCCAGGCGGTTCAAACATTTGTGCTGACAGAATTCGAGGAAGATGCTGACATAACACGATACTCATAAAATGGCTATGACTGAAAACTCCTCAACAACTCACTACCAGTTCTGCTCTTCTTGGGGCTCACCCCGTAGGTATAGTTTCTGAGTTTTCGTCAACTCTATTTTCTACTTGAATATCAGACTGTGCGCGGTCGGCAAAATGCCCACATTTGCAAACCACTTTAGTGTTATCTGGCAATCAGTCATTATCGGCTGTGAAAAACGCGTACTTGCTGTTCACTGGCTATAGTTGCCAGAGTTTTATTCGCCGATGATTTGGGGAGGTGAGTTAGCTAGCTACTTATTAGGAATGGTAGCTGATATAAATGGTTCGTAAATAGAGGGGTCTCAACGGACCTTTCATTGTAGAGATTGGGGGAGACCTGTGCATTGAAGGCAACAGCTTGGATGCATGAATGCCACTGAGAGAGGAAACTGATTGAACCTCTCGTTTATCCAATGAACTTGCAAGACTATTGCTCTCAGGTTCACCGCAATTGCTACTGCCCTATCAGTGCCACTAGAAGCAGCCGGATTCCCGCCTGGAAAGACGAAATTTGATGTGCTTAAGCAACACAACACACACGCACATCGTGTTCTCTCCTGTCATAAACGTCCTGGAAAGAATTTGATGTGCTTAAGCAACACAAGTATTACGGGAGTTTTGCACATCGTGTTCTCTCCTGTCATAAACGTAAAAACAATCTCCTGAGTCAAGCGTTCGCAAACAGTATCTGCTTCAAAGAGCATTAGGCGGATGAAGCGGCAAGATGGGCGGAACCGGCATGAGGCTATCGATGGGTTTTTGATTATTTCATGAGCTGCATCTGGATGACCAGGTTCCTCATCATTGTGGTCGTTAAACGGACGTTTCTCAGGATTACGCTAGCATGGTACAGACGATGAATCCGGGAACAAGGTATATGCCTTAAGTTTTCTCGGGGATGAAACTAGAAGTTCCTTTCGTATGGTCAAACAGAACTAGGAATTTATGTGGGTTCGAACCCTCGATTCCTCGGAATTTATTACTTTCACATATCGTACTCAAAAAAACAACGATGACAACAAACTTACCTACGATCATGCAGTATTTCTCATTTGGCATGGGAACCAGACAATTGCTGTTCGGTCCGTAAATCGGCCGTTGTTCAAACTCCCAGTGGAATCTGTTTATCGGATTTCCAGTAATCAATGCTCGTACCATTGTCGTCCGGTAAAGCAACTGTCCGATTTTCGTATTTGCCATTCGGATGGTAGGCGGAACTTGAGAAGACAAACGCGGATGAATTTATGATGCATCTGAACATCACGCTTGCCCAGACAGAGATAGTTGACGAAAAAGCTGCAACCTGAGGTTTACTCTGAGTTAATTATAGACAGAGCCTGTGAACCTGGAAGGTACTAAGTGATATAATTAGCTGAGATAAAACCTGTTCGGCTCTGAAGCTAGGGATTATAATCGCCCGTTTCCTTCCTCCTCTTCCCATCACATCGAGGTGCTGCTGCCGTACAACCATATGGTGTTTAGTACTAAAAATGAAAGGACCTGGTGATAAGCTCACACAACCGCTCTAACGCTCACTGGAATGCTATGGGCAGATCATGATAGCACGAACTAACTCGCCAGCCTCCTTACCTTAAGGTGTTTTCCTCTCGGCTAATATTTTTCGAGCATATTAGTAACGGCATATCACGTCCGTAATCGGTGTTTGGCTTTAACACCATGATTTGCCTCCCCCTATCAATTTTTCTAAAGACACCTTTTCCTAGTCCACATATTCCGCAACCCCAGTTGCCGCATTAACTGTGACAAACTCCGCATGGCGATAAAGCTCATTGCCGTCAGTCGCCAGACCCGCCTTGTCGTACTTTACGGTATACTGACTTTTTGGACTCTTATGGCCTCACGGATGTACAGCAAACTCGCTGGAAATTACGCTTATATATGCGGTTTGTGAAGCCTAAGGGCGATGGTTTAGGTAACCGAAAGAGGGTCAGGAACGGATAGACGATTTTCAAAATGAAGAAACCAGTGGAAACCCACTGGTGCCATTAGGTAAGTCTGTCGTTAAAGCCGAGTGTACTACGGAAACCAGGCGCAGCGAACTCCTCGCAAATCCCATAACTTTCAGGGTACCGATTCGGGACTACTCCTTTTGAGGGTGCAAGTGAAGGACTGTAGTCCTGAACTTGCCAAAGTCTAGTTATTCGTACTAAACGGTTCTGGAGACCGTACACCCGGTGAACGACTAGAACTGAATTGACTGACGGGTTTCAAACGCTCAAGGCGCTACCTCAGTCAGACGTCCTGACAGATGGGTCAGCCGACGGACACAATCAGGACATGTTCGTCGTTTAAACCGTCAGGCAAACCAACCACGTCACTCAAACGTGGCATGTTCGCTCGTTCAGACGTGTTAATACAGGCGTATCGAGGTTGCGCTGGTGAAGTAGTGGTAACACGATAGCCTCTTCAAACCCCAGCATTCGATGGTGAAAGACAGAGCTGGGAACCGGCTATTCTGGTTGTTTTAACAACCTAGAGAACAAAGTCCCATATAGTCGCCGGCAAGACGCCCCACCTGATGATGCTAGGGAGAGAGGTTAGAACAGGATTAAATACCTACTCACAAGGTTGCTGAAAACTGTTCGACAGCCCACGACCGGTTTCGCCCTTCTTGGGACGGTGACCAAGAGTGTAACGTTCAGGCATGATTTATAGAAAACGCGGAGACATCCAAGATCGAATTGTGGACCGAAGACTCGTTCCCATATGTGCATCCCGCACTTATAAGGGCTTGAGGTGTTTTTTAAATTGAAACCTACTATTTACGTGACAAGGAGAGCTGCCATGTATCTGCATGTTAAATAAACAGGAGACGAAAGTTTCTATAGTAACAGTCCAACAGTCATGACCATCCGAGAAAGCCTTGTCGGCTTAGGCAGAGCAGGAGAGTTCGTGCTTTCACTTGTAGCGGCAGCATGAACCACGTAACAAGCACCTTGTCCGATTACCTCAAGTGTTTTGATTCCGGCAGTGACTCGGAAACGAAGATGTTTCTTTGCTATTGAGAGTTTGACTGATCTTTTGATCTGAAGGACATAGACTGTTAGAAAGCTAATTTTGGATCTTTTGATCCCGGCTAAAGCTTTAGTTATTCACGTATCAACAATTTTCCCTTCGAGTACATGGCTTAGAGCCCCTCGAAAGCACCCTCTGGGAGTGCCTAGCTCCGGTTGGTTTGGCGTATGTGAACGGAGCTCGATCTTGTACACTTAATATAGATAAAAGGTAAACTCGGTGGTTCGCACCATATTTTGTTCGACTTGGCGCATGTGGGATTAGTACTTAATGCAAAAAGCCGACAGTTAACACTGATAACCCTCTTGTATAAGCCCTGATATTGCGATGTTCTGATGTTTGTCTATTCACTTATTGATTATTGACAGAATATCTCGTATAGCTAATGCTATATTACGCCACCGTTTATTAAGATATCGGATGTAATCCCTCATACGTAAGCCAGGTCACAAAGTGGAGGAAATAAAAACCTGATTCAAACGTCAAATGTTCTTGTCATCAGTCCTCAAAATGATGCTAGGGAAGGGTGGCCGAAAAATTCACGGGGACCTAGTCTGTTTGAAATCAACTTCTTTGGTAAGGGACAACAGCATTGTTAGCCCTTTTGATGACTCGATTCTCATGAGTCGGTAGATATTTAATTGAGAGATATTTAATAGATAATAAATAAAGCAATGTTTTTGTGAAGACAGGAGTATGTCCATGTCAGGTTCTAAGCTCAAACGTTTTGGGTAAACGGATACATTCATCTCACAACAGAGTTCATGAAGTGTTCAAAATCCTGCGGGGAATTTTGAGTAACTGCGGCTGATGTTGGAGTTCGGGTTACATCAAATTCCAAATCCTGTAGCCTATGAGATTCTATCCAGAATATTATTGTTCGACCGGATTTGTCGTCGAGGTTATGTATCAATTGATCATTCTCCACAAGGGGCAATATAATACATATTTCCCTGTATCGTCGTCAATAAGAGATTGCAATCAGGGGTATGCGTTTATTGCATTTGATGACACAACACAGACACAATACAGGAGTACCCATCCTAGAGGAAGCGCTGAAGATACCACAAATTCTCATTTTGTGGACGAATTCATCCTGCTCTGAGGATTTGGAGTGCAGAATTTTTATCCACTTTTTTAACTACTCATGCCAGATAAAGTAGTATCTCAGGGTTCAATGGAATTGTTGCACGTAGTATAGCTGAGCGAGTGCAAGGCGTATTTTTAAGTGGACGGTGTGTGTCTACACAAAATATTCATACAAGGTACTAAATGTCACATTGTATATGGGCCGCTTGTTTTTATTTAGGTTGCCTTTAAATCCCACACACTCCTAATAATTTTGCACGTCAACCGCACCTTCCGCTAAAACTCTGGGTCCGGCACTTAAGGTCCTATCTGACCGGAGTCCCTGTATTGTGACGTCTCTTTCAGTGAAATCAATTTATTTATCACATGGTGTAAGATGTCCAACACTTTATTGTCCCTAATCCTCAAAAACCTTTCGTGCTTTGCTATGGTGGTGAGGTATGTGGACGCAGTTGATGGGTTAGAAAACCGCTTACGTTAGTGTGATGAAAATGGTACATTTTAGGAGTTTCGGGCAACCTCTTGCTGCCTGATCGACTAATTGATTTAATTAAATGTGCATCTTGCCCTAAAGGAGCCAAGAAGCATCATAATTCACTGGACCAACCATGGCAACTTGGACAGAATACAAGCTTCGTATTCCGAAATTTGCCGAGTCAGATGGGCATGCTGGACAAGTCGATGAATAACGAGTATTTCTCTAGATCATATCTCCCTCCGTACACGCATGTTTGCGCAATGATCTTGTTTGTATGGAACTCACAACGGCATGCTAAATTCGCCACAAAATTACTGCTCTGAAGCAGTTACTGGTGCAGATTATGCCAACATCATCACGACTGAATGGGTTCGGTGTGGAACTGACAACGGCATGCTAACTTCGCTACAAAATTACGGCTCTGAAGCAGTTACTGGTGCAGATTATACCAACATCATCACGACTGAATGGGTTCGGGGAGGACAGGCAAAAGGCTTGTTTACCAGAGGCAGACTACTCAAATCGTCAGTGCTGAACAGAATGATATGGCCATGGTAGAATGTAGTGCATTTAGCTTTTGTGGTTTCTTGTTGCGAGCAGGAAAATCTTCCGTTATCCGGGGGTATTTAGGAACTAGATCATACGTTATTTGGGACTACCGATTGCATGCACTGTGGCATCTATACCCGTAGAGTCTTGTCTTTTTTTTCTAGGAAATTTTTTAGACTTGACTGTTGAGCTGTGTATTGTGCAGTTTGATGTGACCAGAGATTGCATGTATGTATCTTTGTCTGACTGTCATATTTTGTGCCTCAAAAAGTAACTGGACAATTTAGGATATACTTGTAGATGCCCACGAGACCCGGGTTCATCGGCTTGGCTGGTTATGCGCATTTGAAAGCAAGCCTAAATGGCGGATTAAACCAGAGGATTGTTAGCGATATGGATACGGGATGTGATATTGAACTCTGGAGTTAATTTGGTGGCCTCTTTGGGGTCGATAACTCAGGTATGATGGCCAAACATAGAGAAAATAATTAATAGATTGATTGTTAACGTGTTGCAACAGTTCTACAAAACAATCGATAGATTGGTATTCCATGATTTCCCGCATCGATAAGGTCTTGATCACTTCAAAGGCTTTTCCAGTTGAGAGCGACAGACCCTTTACCACGACAATAGAGTACGAATCGTCAAAACTGGAACCTACAACCAACTTGAAGTAGTCCATGCATGAGGATGCTTTCGTTAATCTTATCCAGTCGACCATTCCGATTGGTTGATTCAACCGAGTCTAGATTGAGTACTACTCGTCCCTCATCGCTGGTGTTCTGAACAGAAAAACTTGTGGGACAGCGCATTGAAGATGTCTCTTCAAATGGTGACGAAATATCTGCAAATCGATTACCAAGGTCGGCGAACAGATCAACAGCCACCTGATCAATTACCAGTCGATAGATTCGTATTCTATGATTTCCCGTATCGATAAGGTCTTGATCATTTCAAGGGCTTTTCCAATTGAGAGCGGCAAACTTTTTACTACGACAATAGAGTACGAATCGTCAAAACTGGAACCTACAACCAACTTGAAGTAGTCCATGCATGAGGATGCTTTCGTTAATCTTATCCAGTCGACCATTCCGATTGGTTGATTCAACCGAGTCTAGATTGAGTACTACTCGTCCCTCATCGCTGGTGTTCTGAACAGAAAAACTTGTGGGACAGCGCATTGAAGATGTCTCTCCTCGAATGGTGACGAAATAACTGCAAATAAATTGCCAAGGTCGGTGAACAGATCAATAGCCACCTGATCAATTACCAACATGCAATTTCGGTTTCCGTAATGACGCTTTAACACAAATAAGTACTTACAATGTACGTCTAACTCGATAACGCGTGATGCCATCCGTTCAAGTCCGTTTTGTGCCACACACTTGTACAGGCCGTTCATCGTCCTTGTCACATTGAAAATTTGCAGATGATTGGCTTCAACAGTGAATCCTTGAATGAGGAACGGTGAAAAATGGTTAAAGAATGAATAGTCCATCATAGTTGATGCTATTTTCCGTATCATACCAATTACTAGACCAATGAAAACTATTCTTCAGAGTAGTGGTTAGTGACATATGAAAAGTACTTCGACAACATTCTTGCCAGCCAATCTCAATCAGAGAATATCGTAGACGAAATCTTTGCTTGAGTCACACTTAGGTCCCCCATTAATCCAACCTCAGTCTACAAATGAGTGTTTTGCTAAAGGTCAAAGGTCATTCAAAGGATTCAGAAAGGAAGTGTCGTTGTGGAAAGCAAACAGTTCGGTTTTGACCATTTAGCTATGACAGTAAATGCAACTGGTTTGCTAGACAAATGTAAATAAAAGCCATAGTTGGGCCTACCATAAATGGTAATTAAGCATAAGGTGAGCTGGTGGCTTTTATCAAGGCCTATTGCCCGATTGGTTCTGACCGATAAAGACCAGCTTACCGAACACCAACATTTCAGGTTTTACAAGGCAGAATATAATTCTGCACGCATTTCTGTGATCAACCCTATTACCTGCGGATCTTCGATAGGTAGGGCAGACTTCCAAGTTTTAGCTTGTAATCTATCGGCCGATTGGTCAGTGAGTTGACTGAATCAGCCGGGAAGATTTGATGAGCTGGCACGTATGATCTCCAATTTGTCCATAAAACGCAAGTCCCAACGAAACTGCACGTTCAGTGGTGTACAGTAGGGGGACAAGAACCTTTAAATCTGTCTGGGGTTGGTCACAGAAGGGTTTGTTTTTCAGCAAACGGTCGCCACGTTTGAACAATGAGGTAAACAGGGGCTTGGAGACCACTTTGAAAGAAACGAAGGGACGGAGTAAGAAGAATCTTACTTGGATGAGTGCAAGCATTCTAGCAATCCGTTGTCTCAAAAGTGCAGTTCGTTAAAAAAATATGTTAATCGAGCAAGTTAAATAATCGTCTATCAATTGATGACTTACTCGGAGAATTTGCCAGACGGCCCAGCTGTATGGAAGATCCGTCCTGGCCAAGCAAGTACCAAGTCACATTGGGTTGTGGCACGCCCCATGCTTTGCAGTGTAACACAGTGTCATCCCCTTCTTGGACGACAACTCGAGTCGGGCTTGAACTGTTCTCATAGATGATCGGTGGTACTATAGGTCATCAACAGAGAAACGAACGGAGAACGAGTGTTTGGGTTTCGTGCCAACAGTGATCGAGGAGCATTCTATAAATACTGGCATCAGATGCTAAATCGACCGAGCCAACGGCCACTGGCAGTCTACTCTCAATCACTTAGAAAGTGGATATAAAACGAAAAGCATTGATCTACCAGAACCGTGTGACGAAACTTATTTTATCGTTTTCATGTATGCTCGTGCCGAGCATCATACGTTGGTCGTACGACAAGGAATTTGTTGGACAGAATGCGAGAACACAATCCCGTATCTCTGAGGGATAGTAGGAAGAAACCAGGCTCCCAGGCTCAAGCGCGATTGCATCACATTTGGCCGAAACCAGTCATGTCATAGACAAGGAGCAAGCCGTCACTATCATATACCGGGTACCTCTGAAACCGATCACGCTGGTACGATCCAGACTACTATCGATCGCGGAGGCGAGTGGAATCCGGTTGCTGGATCCGCAACTTTGCATTCAAAAGAAACTTGTGTGACCTCCGAACTTGAACTGGCCTACGAAACAGTCGGTCCCACAAGTCCGTCTGACATTGACGTCACTTGCCTGATTCCGCGACCCATTGACCTGTCCCTCACCCAACCCACTTCCCTTTGATTTCTGTTTCTCTAAAGTGTATGTAGCCCCGATCTTAACCTTTTCCATGTGATTTCTCCTACCATTTAATTTTGTGATGTGTTAGCCAAGAGGAACAATCACAGAAAACAACCTTTGTTCGCCACCTTCTTCGTTCTCATTAGGATCTAGGGGTTTTCAGTTCTAAGACAGGTTCACAAAGCGGCATTTACTACTCAAGTTCTAATCGAGAATAAATATTTTCAAGCGCATACCCAAAACGTTTAGCCGGATCTTCCTCTTGTAGACATGTTGGCCCGTCGAATAGAGACAGATGTACGTTCCTTCATCAGCCTGTTGAACGTTATCAATGCGTAAGTCCATGATAGTTTGATCGAAGGATGACATATCCAAGATGAATCGTGTATCTGGGTGGGTACGTCGGTTATCGTGAATCAAGTAGTCGTTGGTGCTCGCGCGCTTCCACAGCAGCTGAAAATCATGACAGACGTTTAATCATCTGTTGCGCTTGATATTTTAAATTAGATGAACTCGGAGTTGGATGCAGACATTCACCTAAAGGTGGAATGAATCTACACTTACCGTTCCTTTGTTTGTAGCATCCCAGCCCACTCCTTCCGCCGATTTCTTGATTGGACGGCATGGTAGTAAAGCCGTGTTATTCACCACAGCTTCCACTATGATGGAGGCAAAGTCTTCCGCGCCAAACTGTTTGTTTTCTGTGTCTTTCCCCGGAGTGCCTTCTTCCTTCGCATCGCTCGAACCGACGTCAACTTCCGGCTGTTTTGGCCAAATCAGGTCGGCCGGTTCAGAGTTGGGAAACTGTGCAGTTTCAGGCTCAACTGTAAGGAGGGAGACAAATTAGCTTCCAGTAGATTGGAAAAAACATCCCTTTCCGAACATTTTCACAATCAAGTACCCTCGATTAAGTAAGGATCGGTCGTCTTTCTGGGCAAGTCTGTATTCTCTTATGAGGAGTTATTAGCAAACTGATGACCACTGTTTACTTTTTGCAGGTTTAGTTAGCCGAGAGGTCGCAAACTTATGGCATCCATTACTCGTCCGGACGACTGTAGGCACTGTTATACGGTGCACAAGCCGGTGCTTCCCTGGATCGATTCGACGATGGACCTGGCCATAAGTTCCAGTGGGTTGAAGAAACAATAACCACACTGGCTGATCAGATAGCCACTGATCTGTTTGCTAAGCTTGACAGTTTGCTTGCAAACGTTCCTCCAGCAGACGGAGAGATGACATCAACTGCACAATGAAAACGTCTCTTCGACCAAAGGTAAAAAATTTACAGGCCAAACGCAAAGCTTGGTGAACTGACCAAAGGTTGCCAAATCAACCACTAGTAAACATACCCGGGCTACTAATGTATCAACACACTGAAATACAGTTTGCATGGTCTCGACTGTGATCGAAAGCCAGTCACAAGGCCGTTAAGCGAAGCATAAGTCAGAGCTTCGTGTGATCCGTAGGTTTGAACTCGCTCCCATATAGAACGGATAGCATTTTCAACTCTCCTATTTTCGGAAAATAATAGTTGCGTCGAGTTCAAATGCTATAGCTCAAAACGTGTACAAACAACTCGATCGGAAGAATTCGCTAACCGTTACTGCTGAAAACGCTAGGCGAGGCTTGAGAATGCATTGATGCGGTTCTTTAAATGATTTTTACATTGCTGAACTCAGCGTCAAAAGTGCGTACTCACTGAACGACCCATCCTCAACGAGTGAGGTGTTAGGCATTGAAGATGCTCATGGGTCCGTTTAAAAGCAAACTAAATGGCCGGTAGCCAACTAAAGTTACAAAACCTCAGGATGGTTGTTTTTTGAGGAGAGAGTCTAAGTTTCAACCTGTATTATTGCCGAATTTGAAAAGGAAATATAATGCACCACTGATCATCCGGTTTAAATTTGAAGTGGTTACTTTTCCCGCCTGACGAGTTTTTACATACTGTAAGATGAAGCGTCGTCTAAATGGCATCCAAACAAATACTGTTTCAGGCACTATTCCTCTGCTCTACAGCTGATGAGGTGACACCAACAGAACTGTTACTTGGGGATGAGGAAACCACTGGGACCAAGTAGAGTCGTCAACGTTTTATGGTTTTCCACCTTTCCGATCATGAAAGAACAGTCAATTTGTGATGCGGAAGGAAATAGAACCGAGTCATTCCGTGTACTTCTGTTAAGAATTAGGTGTCCTATTGTTGCTAGGGACAATTGTTGTTTGATTAGAATATATTTCTTCCCCACTTGTCCAGTCGGAAGACCCAAACGTGACCTTGGTGATTTGTTGTTTAACTAAAGATTTGAGTCATTTGAGCAGTTGAGTTACCCTAGATATATATCCGAGCTCAGTTCATGAGTATGAAATGTGTGGAACTGAAACTTCATCGTGGTTTTCCACTTGATGGCTTGTTGCTATGTTGTTATGTCGGAAAATTTGTTCTTTTAGTTAAAGGCTATCGCTGCACACCAAGAAACCCCTATTATGTACCTCAACCGATTGTTCCAAACTTGGATACTGGCAGTGTTTCAGTCACATCTCTGAGCAATACGCAAACTGTGGCCACATCCAGTAAGAGCCTCACACTGCATGTGTTGGTCATCTGCGCATAAATGCTGAGTTTGGATGTGTAAAAAAATCTGCCTAACTTCGATTTCTATACCGAAATCGTTCTTTTCGGTCGATCAACACGACGAAGTTCGGTAGTGCGGCGTCATCGTGTCTTGCAACCACTCAGCTCATCGAAACATGACCACATTCTTCAGCTGAGACACGGTAATTTCGTTGCATATGGTGGCAAATTAGTGGTCGAGCACTCCTTTAAGCAGAACGACTGCTAGAGGAGATAAGGAGGAGCATCCACAATACTCGTATGAACGCAAGTCGCGGAAATTTTGCAACCGGTCGGTAGCCTGCTGGGCCGATTAGAGTGAGGCCCAAAGTTTCATTTCGTCAGATGAGCGATCCACAGATTCTAGGCATCCGGACACTCTTCTTACTTTTTCTTGGGAAGGAATGGGACTAGGACCGTTACATTTGGTAATATTACTGGCCCTGCTGCTTCATTTTACACCACGCTTGTCAGCTGTCCTAGCTTGCATCATGAATCATGTGTTGATCCGTATCCTTCTTAGGACCGTCCCCTTATCCTCTTGAACACCGCAATGTTGAGTGATCGGTGAGCGCTTTTTTGACATCCTTAGTCAGCTAATCGCACTACTGGAAACTAATCAGGTTTTTCTAGCTGAACATTTATCTATCCTCGCAGACGATTCGATGGTATTTACAGAAAAGCCGAGAAGGAATGTTCAATTTTTTCATCAGCGATGCAAATCTCACGAAGCTGAAGGAGCTTCGAACCCACGACCTTCTGACCAATGGTTGAATATTTAACCGTTTGGTCATGGGTCGCTAAACAGCAGTGTGATTACCTCTCACATAGATAGGACACAGGAGCCATTCGTCACTCATTGAAGAAAACTACATCACGTGGTCACCTATTGATTGGCTCCTCGAGTGACGATTTCTCCTCTGAGCTGCTCATTGGTTAACGGTAATGTGAGAAGATTATTTGCTATGCAGTAGAGACTTCAACCTGTCAGTGAAGCCAATCTATGCTGAAAAGCTAGGAAGCTCTGTACATCTGTTTTTTGGGAACCATCAATAGATTTGACAGTAACCGAACTATTGCTTTGGAGTTCTAAATGGAAGTTTTGTACATAATTTGTGAGTTCCATCAACGCTTACTCACAGAAATCACCATCAGATACTCAGGAGTACATGATGAATTAGATGATACCGAGCATTCTTCAGTGTTCCCGCCTCCTGATCAGGCCCAAAGATGTAATAGCACCTGAAATATTAACAAGAGCACAAGCTTTTCCATCCTACCTGCATTTGGCTGGCCTAGTCCTAGTCTTTACCGCTCGTCTCCTTGACTTTGTTCATTTTATGAGAAACGTAGTGGAGATGAACTGAGAGCTGTCATTTACCGGTGTTTGAAATTCACCTTAACTATGGGTTACAAAACTGAAACAATGCCCCACAAAAGGTGAGCTGATTTTGGCGTTTCTGGTATGCCTGAGGAAGATGTTCCGAGGGACAAAAAATGCAGTAGCGCATAGCACGAAGCGCTGGACTTTTCAACCTTTTGCAGTCGGACAGCAACCAGTCACATGCCTGTTTCCTAGGAGACATTTGTTCCTATTTGCTCATCTAACCCTCACTGTGATGCAACTATCTTCCGTGACGCGTTCATGACACGCTTAACCTCGTCGTGGTATGAAGTTTCTCCAACACCACAATTTACCGGCTTTTAACGGTGAATTCTACAGCCAAAATAAGAAAATCTGAAAACTTAGGGGATGAGCACTCGAAATATCTGTGTGGGAATGTATGTGAAGACAGAAAACAAGCGTCCATGAATGAAAACCAGGAACGAAAAGTTGGAGTTGAAACGGTCGGAAGAAGTGAAGCTCATTTGAATGGGTTATGCTTTCAACATATCGCAGTATGATTTCGCATCTGGGATATTATGTTAACTAAAGCATGAAACGGTCTTTTTGAACCACATTTAGTTGAAGACGACAGATTCAGCTGAGTCACTCGTGAAAATCAAATTGATATGCTAGTGAGTGTACTTGTCGACTACAGTCATGTACTTCACCAAATGCCAAATGTCAAATGTCGACTCAAAGTAGGAAAGTTGTTTGTGTCCACCGTCAAAATTGAAACATTTTTAGCCACATTTCAAAGTTGGAGGCACAGAGAAATGAAACGGGCACACAATTCCCTTTTTCTTTTGCAGACCGCTAGCGGAATGTCCCGTTAATGAACGATATGCTAGCGTTCGGTTTAGCGTAGAGCAATCTCCTCACTAAAAAACAGATGTTTCAAGCTCTTTAGAAGACCAGCTTCACTTTCGGGAGAGTTCGGTCTCATTCGTGGCTTAGGGATTACTATTAATTCCTCCCCTGAATCTTCTTGCTTGTATTTCTGCTACTCATGAGTAGCGCTACTTACGGCTGTTTATTATGACGCCCTTCATCCATCCTTGCTGTCCGAGTTTCTGCTCCCGCTTTTTCTCTGTTTACCCTCCGACAGCTAATGTCAAGATTTTTCGTCTGTCTGTTTTCGCTTGCGATTTCGTGTCAACTCTATTGAGTGTCTGTTCCAACGGGAAAGCAGGTCTCCCGAGGATCGAGCTTCGAACACCTCGGATGGCAGACGAGCGCGTTATCCACTGAACGAACTCAATATTCCAAGAGATTCTATGCTGTGTATCATGCAATTGATATTGCACCTTAACCGATAGTTTTTTTCTGAATTTATTTGAACAGGCCTAAGCGCGCGTTCCGATTTCCCACGTGACACGAGCTGCTAGGGCGCACCGTCACCTAAAGGCAGCAGGAATTCTGGAGAGTCTTCCGTCAAGACCAAACTTGTAAACAACTGAGTTTATCTGGTGAACCGTTGTAGATAGTTTTCTAAAGTTCCGATCAACAAAGAATATTGCTAGCCTTGGCAATGTCTGGTCGTTGGTCAGTTCTCTCATCTTGGAAGTTGACCGCAAACGTGTCCCCACCAATCGGGATGACAGCGTTCGTGTACCGTCAACATACCACTGAAGATGATACTTTGATTGGTTAGGAAACATATGCAGTCTAACTGACTAGTTTAGCCACAGATCAACAACCAATCAGCGCATCCGAGCTACCAACTTGTCAGATGTTTTCAGTTTGTGATGTTTGTCGATATTTGAACTACACCTGAAGAGTTCGGTTTTGAAAAGAACGCAAAAACTTGGCTATTTTATGTCCCCG